GGCATCAAACTCCTCATTTCAAGCACTTACACGAGGAATGCAAGCATTCCAACTGGCTTCATAAGTGAAAGTTAACTGGTAAAAAACAATAGGATGGTGGACCACAGAAACACCCCTGCCCATTGAACTATCCCCGACAGGACTACAATCGAAGGATCCAGACTCCCCAATCCGGTTCCTAGGCATAAACCTTAACCTCAAAGGAAGTCACCAAGCATCGGCAGCGACACTCTTGTCCTCAATGGTCAATAAAATGCACTCATGGAAAGCCATACACACCTCCCTGTTAGGCAAGGTACTGGCACTCAACAATTCTATCCTAGCGATGATGTGGTACTCCACGTCCATCTGATTCCCCCCCACTGACTTCCAGAACCAATTAAGGAAAAAAACTGCAGCATTCCTATGGACAGGTAACCCAGATAGTCAACACTTTATCCACAAAGTAGACTGGCAGATAGTCACCAGCCCAAAAAATAAAGGGGGTCTAGGTCTTATAGATCCTTCCCGTCAAATCCAAGCCTTACAAATCAAATGGAACATAAGACTAGCCCTCCAGGACAATATGCAATGGACCCCACTAACCCTAAATGACATCAAAGAACTTGCACCACTCACCTCCTGGACCAACATGTCAGGTCTCTTATGGGTTTTCAACAAAGCCTGGCCTCTCCCAAAAGGGAAATGGAGACAACCCGAACAAACACTCCTAGGAATCAACAACGACATAGCCCAAACCAAACACCTATGGGAACAAATCTTACAGTCTTGGAGAGCCATCTTCCCATAAAACAGACTAGGCATGGAGAAAAAGGACGAAGTCCTTAGACTACCACTCTTCGGAAACCCACTGATTAAAAACGATAAAGGGGAAATCCTCCCTCTCTCCAAGTCAGAATCCAAATGGGGACATTGGCTAGAGAAGGGCATATGGCAAATCAAACACATCTAGGACGAACCAAACACAAACTGGAAAACAGAAAGGGACCTACGCGAAAAACTAAAAGGAGTACACCTCCTACAAACCAACCTAAACCACATCATAGAATGCATTCCACTAAACTGGAGAGCATTACTAAGATCAGAACAAAAATGGCAATACGGAGACTGGGCCGCCATTACAGACACCCCCTTAACCCAGGAAGTCCTCTTCTTCAAGAACTATGAACCCCATAACAACAACTGGATCTGCTGCGACATATACACTCTAGAGGAACCAGGAAACCAAGTAAGCTACATCAGTACGAAAAGCAGAGCAGAAGGAGGATTTATAGCCAACAAACTTAGAAGAATCAGAATCATAGAAGGAGAGAAAAAGAGTCTACAAACCCCACACTAGTATCAGTAACCTAGAAATCGACCCAACGGAATGGGCATGAAACTCCCCGTCTAACTCCACCCCCATCTCTAGCCAATTCAAGTTAACTGACTACACACCCAAACTAGGTTATAAACTCTTCACTAAACTCATATCAATCTCTAATACGCTACGCACCAGATGGGCAAAAGAGGAACCACAACTTGCCAACACCCATTTCAAACTTCCTTGGAACACAATCTTCTCCACAAAACTGGTCAAGCTAGCCAGCCTAAGATGGCTAATAGTCTATAGAGCAGTCCCAGTCAACCAATGGTTGGCCAATAGACGAAAGCAAGAAAACAGCTTGGAACAAGACTGCTGGTGCAAGGTATGTAATCTCGAAACTCCAGAAACACTGAATCATTGCTTCATAGATTGTCCAATGGCCAGATCCCTCTGGCAAACCATAGAAGCAGCATGGAACAAAATCTCAGATTCTCCTCTTCTAATCAACCCAGCCACATTATTCCTCGACTTTAAACAATCGCCTCCTCTCAAAAGCTTTGAAGTGTTTCTCTCTTCCCAAATCAAGAAAAGCACACTCTGGGCCATATAGAGAAATAGATGCAACAACACCTTTGAAGACCGACTTACCACACCAGAAAACCCACTCATCACTGTCAAACATCTCATAGACACCGAAATCCACGCCCTCTGGAAAAAACAGCTCAACCAACTCCCCATTGACCCTGATAAAAGGACAGAAACAATAAAAAAACTCTCAACCACCAAACTAGGCAAAGGACTACTTGGTACAATAAACAATGACAGACTCATCCTCAATAATTGGCTAATCATAACACAGCCACAAAACACCTCTACAACTCCACTAACCTCCGCACAAACACTGCTAAACTAACCTCTCTCCACTAACCCATTACAGGAACGCCTTTCCCCCCAACAAACCCACTCCTCCCCCCATCCCCCCCCCCACCCCACCACCACCTATTACAGCGCACCTACCCAAAGCCCCACAACACAGTCACCCTAAATCCACAGAACCTATTCCACAAAGAAAACCCTAAATGGTCTTCAAACGGTCCCCCACTATTCCTTAGCAATACCAAATTTACGACCCGTCCTCAGTAACCACCACAGATAAAACCAACAACTACAGTTTAGAAACGACAGACAGAGACAGACCAACAGCTAAGAGACAAACAGCGAGGGATTAGATTTCTAGCAACAACCACCACAGATAAAATCTACAAAAACAGCCTGGAAACGACGGAAAGATACTGACCACAGACTAGAGACAAGCAGCGAGGGTTTAGGGTTTTAGCAGTTTACACAAGACAAGAACAGAAACCTAACGGAACAGGCTAACTTAAGCAGGGGTGAAGGGTGGTACATCCCTCCTTCGCGAGGCAATCAATGCCGTCCTTTGGGCCTTCACACCATGAGGGGGAGGAGCATGTGTGAGTACACAATGTAATCCTTTATGACTTGCCGGTGGAATAGGAAGCGGACTGATGCTCCCCGGAATGGAAAAGGAGCCTGAACCCTAAGGTTCTGTTTTCGGAAAAAAAAAAAAAAAGGGTAGCCATAGTGGGCGTTTTCCTCTTTTTCATTTGTCTTTCTAGGACGGGTAACTTGGGCTTTCTTCTTCACTTGTTTCTGGTCCACAGCACGGCCTGGGCTTGGCCGGTGCACACACCCTTGGCCCTCGCCGCCATCTGGATGTACTGGCCTGAAAGGCTGTGGTTATCATGGGGATGGTTAATTTGCGGCATCTATCTACTGTGAGGAATGAGCCCTCGTGAGGCCCTTCTTGGGCATGCAAATGTCCAGGGCTGCGGCCCCCAGCAAGCCTCGTGCCCTCCCTAACTGAAGGTGGGCCTGTACATTTACAAGAGGCCTATTTTCAACATTTTTCGTATGTGGGTATCAGACAGTTGCCGCACGCCAGTTGGTTACAGAACATTGTGAGCCTTCTGTGGCTCCTCCCAGAAGCAACAGCTGTGCTGTACAGTTGATTGAGCCCAGGGCTGAAGTGGTTGCGCCCTGGGCACACACAGTGAGAGGCCGACACATCACGCTGTGGCCGCGGACCAATGAGAATTCAGCATTGTCGTCACACATCTACCTCGGGCCAATGAGATCGCGGCAAACACTTGGAGCCTGGAAGGCTACCTGGACGTGCCTAACTGCACGAGGCCAGGCCAGTGTCTGAAACTGGGCTTGGGCGCAGACACTTCGGGCCAACTCGAAGCTACTGAGCCCCTACACGCCAGGTCCAGGCAGGCCAGCGCAGGGCACACTTTCCATATAGGAAAGTGTGCACCCAGGGGCAGCGCATTCTAGCCTAGGCAGGCATGGCGGCCACCCTGCTGCATTGCCGAGCGCTGCTGCATTAGCGCTAGCCGGCCAGACTCGCATGCGGGCGCAGAGAGGTGAGAGAGGTGCTGCGGTGGCAGCGGGCGCACGGCGGCCATAGCCGGGCTGCGCGTGTGGGAAGCTGGTGATGGCGATGGTGGTCTTCGGGTAGGAGGCGCATGCAGAGGGGAGTCGAGGTTGGATGAGGGGACGAGAGAGAACATGCCGGGTGTATGCTGACGGTCGGCATTGGTGATGACTTCACGTACATTAGTCCAACTTGGATGTGATCCAGTTGCATGAACGTAAATAGGTGTAGATAGGCTGAGCAGTGTAGGCTGGGCGCTGGGCGCCAGACGGTAGGAGCAGCATTGGATACTGTGTTGGTGTGGCCAGAGCGCGTCGACATTGACATACGAGTTCATTGCATTGCTCGTATTTGGATGGAACCTTGGTGCATTGTGCTCTCTGCTTGGTACATGGCCATCTGGACTACTTCGTGATGTTGCAATTTGGATTTATGTCTAGCGCTCTCGCTCGTATTCCTTGCACTACACTGGCCTGACTGTTATTCATTTCTTCCAGGAAGAAGCAATCAATGCTGTCAGGACATCACAATCTCTATGTATTTGTGCTATTACTTGCTAGGGGAAGATAAATCAGACTGGCAATTCCTCGCATAGAAAGGAGTAATGGCTGTCAGGTCATGTTTTGAAAGAAAAAAGGAATGATGGTTGAGTTAATGAGAAGAGCAATAGTACTCGGCAACTTTTTAGTTTGATTTGTGTGCAGACCCACAGGAGACCTGCCAATAGAGCAGAATTCAAAAGCGTACTGAGAAACCAACGTTTATGCTAAAAGACTGTCAAGAGAAGTCAAGACAACAAACAGCTCGCAGATATCATGTGGGCATCTAAATGGAGGGGACCCAAGCAAAGAACAATCTAGGAATAATCAACCAGTACCTCATTATTTCACTTGTTGCTCACACAAATCCGAATCAAAGAAGAGTTCCAAAACAGGAAAATTCTTTACTTGAGTTTGGAAAGCTGAAGTTTTCCAGACCGTGCATGAGCAAGAGCTTGATTCTTCATCATTAGGTTTCAGTACGCCGTCGTCCTTGCACCGAAGCTCAAAACTTCCAAAAATGAGAATTACGCTCGAGTTTTGCTTAACTACAACCTATTCAAACTCTGCTTTTTTGGGTAGTTGGCATTGAGATGGTTTGCTCAGACCTCATTTTCTTTAACCTGACAATCTTCTCCTCCTGTTCCTCCTCGTCCTTCGTCACTTCCTCCTCCTCTTGTCTGTTGAAAACGAGCAGATAGGTGCACGAGTCTTCATGGATCCAGACACATTCTGGAAGCAAGAGGTGACAAATTTCATACAGAGCCTGGCTCGGATTCTAAAAGTTGATGCCAGTCGGATAAAAGTTGTCAAGCCAACAGCTGCTCAGAGGCGCAGAAACCTACTAGAAAGCAGTAAGATGAAGGATATCAGTCCTGGCAGTAACGTAACAGTTTCAAGCGCGGCGGCTCCAATTGACTTAGATATCATCGTCCGGCCCACATTTGAAGAAACAAACCAGCCATTGGCTGACCCAGTATTGCATCCAATTGTCGATCCACCACCGCCTCCTGCCCCACCACCTCCTCCTCTGACTGCTGAAGAGTTAGAGGATCCCTCCGTTTCGTTTCTCAATACACAGACAACCAGCATCTCTGTCAGTCCACCTCCTCCCCCTCCGACCAGGCCCCAAGGTGTGCCTCCCTCAATGGCGCCACAGGCAGAAGCATCCAGCCCTGCCGCAGCACCAGAAGGACTTGTTACCCTCATGGCGATTGCTCAGAAGTTTGCAGCCATAGTTGCCGATGGGTCACTGGCAGCTGAAACCAACATGACACTAGAAGTCACGCGCTTGGAGCTGAGCTCGCACGACAGTGCGCCGCCAATGCTGCTGCCACCTTCATCCCCACCACCATCCCCGCCACCATCCCCGCCACCATCCCGACCACCATCCCCACCACCATCCCCACCACCAGCACGACCAATCAATGCACAGACCGCTGGTAGCCCGCCTATTGCACTTTCGCCACCACCTCCCCCACCTCCCCCACCTTCCCCACCACCACCACCTTCCCCACCCCCTCCATCTCCCCCACCTCACACATCTCCTGTCCAGTCAAGTGTGCCACCACCCGCCATAACTTCTCCAATACTTCGTTCACCACCTCCACCAACTGGAGGAGCTGGAACGGCCTCATCGCCTGAAGCATCACCCGAAGGTATGGGAGCTCTGATTTTGTGGTACTCTCTTGACCTTTCATTCACCCACTTGCTGTCCTATGTCCATCGCTCAGTTTTATGACATGCAAAACTTCATGCCAATGACTTGCTAGGTTTTTAACCATGAACAGCACAGGACACATCTTGCTATGTTCCTTGCTCATCCAATCAAGAAAGAAACCATGTATGCTCATGGATTCAGCGCAGCCTTGCCAAGGCATTGAGAAGAGATTTTGAAGATGAGAAGAAAGAAAACCAGTGAAGAATAAAGAAAGTTTACACGAGAACGACACTAATTCCCTCCTTCAATCTCTCCCTTCTCCTCCTTTCACATCATCTCTCCTTTTTTTGTTAATAAAACAGGTCCTTATGGTCCTGGCACAAGGTCCATTCCAGGAAGCATCAGTCCGGTTCCATTCCACCAGCAAGTTGAGGGGGAGACAAAATTTACACACTCCATGCTTCCTTCTGTATGGCCAAAGGAACCGTGAGCATCGTTGACTGCTCGTTTGCAGGGGGATTGACTGTCAGAAACTCCTTTTCCTTCTAAGATCTTATTGCAATGAACCCAACCACAATTAATCGCCAATCCAACTTGCTGAACACAGAACCCTCACAGAAGTTTCACACCAAGCACCAAAACCACAAATCATCATCAAGAAGATAAAAGCGCCGTCTAAACTCTTTATTAATAAATTATTATTATTATACAAAAGTATTTTCAAATACAAGCTGTTAATCGCCGCTATCGCCAGCAAACTACGAACCAGGGCAACCGCTCTCTCTCCCCCCCCCCCTCTCTCTCTCTCCCTCCCTCTGATGTCTCTCGGCACTTCAGGCGCTCGACGTCATGCTCTCTCCCACCTCACTCTCTCCCTCTCTCTCTCCAGCTTGGATCGTTCACTCTCACCTCCTGAATACACTTGCCTAACCTACCTCGTCTTCACCCTCACCCCTGCGGCTATGGCTGCCATCTTCTCCTTTGTCTCCGTCCGATTGCCCTTCGCCTTCCTCCTCAACCTGACTGTCTAACCCGGTGGTCGAACAAGCGCTGCAGCAGAGTTTCTGCAACATGCCAATTGACAAGCGACCTGATGCTGCTCTGTAGCAAATATAAATAGCAGTGGGAGTGAATCGTAGTCGGCTTCAGACCGGTACTGGCCGTCGCGGCCTGTCGGCTGCATATTGCCAGTTCTGGAGCTTGCCGGAATTTCCCAGGATGCTGCTTCAAAGTTGCACTTCGGGACTGCAGACTTTTTGTGTTGGGTACTGAACCAACGGCAGCTACTTGACTGTTGGACCCTACAGACCTACGATGCTTTGAATTCTGGACCCTACCGGAGTTCTAGGACCCCCTGACTAGGCCTGGGCTCGTATGGGACCCTCGGACTGGAACTTGGGACTCTGGGACTGGGACTCGGGAGGTGGACACAACGTGAAATCCTTTCATTCTCGTTCTCATCCCCTCTTAGACTGTCGGGTAGTCATGAGCCAGCAAGATTTTCATAAGGGTCAGTCCCTGTTGTGAGTGCAGAGAGTTACTTAACTTGTGGTGACCTGAGAGCAGCCATTCAAAGCCTCTCTGTGCTACCATCTCACACTTGTGCAGTGAGTCACCCGTCTGTTCTGCTGTTGTTCATTCTCGGCCTTCTCTGAGAGCTCCTCTTAGATTTCAACATGTTTGCTCTGAGCTTGGCGGAGTCTGTGACTTGGGTCCATGTTACATCTTCGACGCCACACGGGTCCTACCGGACCCGACTTAGGGCTAGAGGGACACATCAGGGCCTAAAGGCCCGACCTTGGGGAGTAACAGGCCGAAAGGCCACGACTTGGACCAGATTACGGACCAGGCCCAAACGACATTTCGTTTTGGGCCTGGCGGCGCCGTTTGAGGCTGCCGCTCTCCGGTTGGACCTGAATCGTCGATCTGGACGGTTCAGCCCCAACCAAGGCCTTGCAGCATTGAGGCCGGTCCTCTTCGAACCAGTACTTAGTACTGGTCCGGGCTCACTTCGAGGCCATCGACCCACCGGCACGCTACGGTGCGTCATGGTACGGCGTGAATCAGCGCTGGCGCTAAGTTTAGCGCAGGAGCAGCGAGGAGCAGCGCAGTGCAGCATTAGCGCAGCAGCAGCGAGCGGAGCAGCAGCAGCGGCGACTGGGCGTTATCGGCGGCCATAGCCGCCTGAGGTATCGGGAGTCGGAGGCTTCTCTCCTCCCTCCC